TATCCCAGAGCTGCCGACCCCCCGGTGCGTGGCACGACCTCCCCAGAGCCGCCTCCCCCAGTGTGTGGCACGAATATCCCAGAGCTGCCGACCCCCCGGTGCGTGGCACGACCTCCCCAGAGCCGCCTCCCCCAGTGTGTGGCACGAATATCCCAGAGCTGCCGCCCCCCCGGTGCGTGGCACGAGCATCCCAGCGGCTCCCCCCAGTGCATGGCACGAATATCCCAGCCCCCCGCCCGAGCCCCCTGGCTTCCCTGTACCCGAGGACTCACGCGTGTGCACTTGGGTCCCGCAGCTCCAGCCCTGGGGGGTGCCCGGGGGGCACTGGGGTCCCGGTCCCAGCTCCGCTCAGAGCCCCAGCTCCGCTCCCTGCCCAGCACGGCCCCTTTTCCGCACCTGGGAGATTAAACTTTCCAGTTTCCTTTAATCAGACTCCCCTGGAGCGACCCGAAAATCCTGGGATTAGGGGGGTGGGGGGGGGTGTCACCTCCCATCAGATCAGCACACAGAGCACCTGGGGGGATTAGTGCAGGAGGGAGGGGGAAGAGCTGGGGGGAGAGGAGGGGGCAGCGGGGGAGGGGCGGAACCCAGAGCCCCCTAGCAAAGGGCCATTGGGGACCGCAGTTCTCAGTGTGCCCCATGGGGAGGTGGTAGGGGGCACTGGGCGGCAGAGGATGGGGCAGAGGGGCACCGGGGGGACATTGCCCTCTGAGGGGGCCCAACAATGCCCACCCCATGCCTGTGTTGGGGGTATATAGGGGTCCAGTCCTCGCTCCCTCCCCCGCTCCGAGGGGGTGCCCAGTGGTACCGGTCCCTCCTTAATCCTCCCTGATCCCTCCGTTAGCCCTAATTAGCAATTAAGGCTCCATTGGGGCTATTTATACGGGACCGGGATGGGGGCAGCTCCCCCAGCCCTGGACAATGGGGCTTCCCTCCCCCACCACGTACCACACCCCTGGGGGTAACCGAGTGGGGGCCCTGGGTGATGTGGGGCGCGAGGGGTCAACATGGGGGTAAAGGATGTGCCCCCCACTCCCAGCGCCAGCCTTGAGCCTGCCCCCCCCCGCCCAGCTGAGTGCCCTAGTTGGCGCCAAGCCCTGACCTACAGCGGACCCCGCGCCTGCCCCAGTGATATAACAGCTGGGTCCAGGCCTGACCCAATTCGCACCTCATCCTAACCGGGCTCTGCCCCTCCCCATTCTCCGCCCCCCGAGCCAGCCAGCTCCCCCCGGGGCCAGGGGGGGAGCTGGCACCCCCCAGAGGGGAGAGGCCCCTGCCCCATTCCCTACCCCCCTGAGCCAGCCAGTTCCCGCCCTGGGGCTAGTTTGGGGTGCGGGGTGTTGCAAGGTGGATATGGGGTGTTAGCAAGGTGAATGTGTGTGCCAATCTGGGAGCGAGGGCAGTTTGATGGTGCACAGGCAGCGGATGTGTTGGAGGCCAGGGGTTGGGTTTCTGTTAGGGGTGCGGTTGTGTTATGAGGTGTAGGTCTTGGGGATAGTCAGAGGGGACTCAGTATTGTGTTGTGGGGTTCATGTGTGTGGGTGCACTGTTGCTGGGTGTGTACGTTGTGGTGTCTTGGGGTTGTGGGAGTGTGTGGGCGCGTTTTGGAGTGTATCCATTGTGTCTGTGTGTCCGAGGGGCTGTTGGCCTGTAGCTGTTGGGTTGTGTGTGTGAAGGGATGTAGGCATGTCAGTGTGTAGGGTGCTGGGGTTGCACTGGGGGTCAGTGACAGCGTGCTGTGGGTGCAGGTGTCTGTCTGATGGGGTGCAGCTGTTGTGTCTGAGTGGGTGTTGGAGTGTAACTGTTGGGATTGTATCAGGGTATGTGAAGATTTGTTGCAGGGTAGGTGTTGGCACTGGGTTGTTGTGTGTGTGGCAGGGTGTTTTTGTCAGGGCGATGGGGTTGTGTCAGTCTGCGTAGGTGTTGGGGTAATGGGGTGTAGATGTGTGCATGCCATGAGGCATAGGTGTCAGGTCAGAGTGTGATTGGGTATAGCTGTCAGCGTGGAGATGCTGTCAACATGTCCATGATGTGGTGTCAGTGTTAGTGTGTGTAGCTGATGGGACATCGTGTCAGGGCATGATGGGGTGTATGGGGGTGTTGGTACATAAATGTCAACGTGTGTAGATGGGATGAGGTGTAGCTGTTGGTCTGTAGATGTCACTGTCGGGGTGTGTGGTATGGTGTAGGTGATGTGTGTAGTGAGGGGTAAGGGATGGGGTGTAGTCGACAGTGCGTGCGACATTGGGTAGCCGTTGGGGTGCGTGTGATGGGATGGAGGAGTTGGGGTGCAGGACAGGGGGTACTGTTGGTGAAGGTGATATGGCACAAGTGAGGAATGTCGCTGTTGGTCTATGGTTGTGTCTGCAATGAGAGGGTAGGTGACGGTGATACAGTGCGGGTGAGACGGGGGGTGTGCATGGTGCAGTGGAGGTGATATGGGGTGAGTGTGATGGCGTGTGGGTGATTGAGTGTCGGGGATATGGTGTAAGTGAGAGGGTGTGGGTGATCCTGTACCTGTGCGCATGATAGCTGCATATGATGGGGCAGAGCAACAGGGCGCAGTGCAGGTGTGTGGGATGTGGTGCAGGTGACATGGTATAGGTGTTGGGTGTAGGTGATATGTGTGTGCATGTGATGGGATGGAGTAACAGAGTGTATGTGACAGGGTGTTGGTGACATGGTGTAGGAAATAGGGTGTGGCTGATGGTGTGCGAGAAGCTGTGTAGCTAACACAGTGTAGGTTACAGGGTGCAGGTGTGTGTGTGACATGGTGTAGTTGATTTTTTGTAGGTAATAGTGGGAGGTTGTATAGGTGACGCTGTGTAGGCAATAGGGTGTGGGTGACAGTGTGTGCGAGTGATGCAGTGTAAGTGACGGTGTGTGTGATGTAGTGTAGGTGACTGTGTGGGTGTGACACTGTAAGTGATGCAGTGTAGGTGACAGGGTGTAGTTAATCGGGTGTGGGTGATGCAGTGTAGGCAACAGACTATGGGTGACAGTGTGGCTGTGTGACATGGTGTAGACGATAGGCTGCGGGTGATGGTGTATGTGTGAGTGACGGGGTGTGATGAGGTATGGGTGATGGGGTGTGTGCGGGTGATGGAATGAGTGCAGGTGTTGAGTGTGATAGAGTGCAGGTGATGGGATGTGCGAGGGTAACAGGATGTGCTGAGATGCAGGTGACAGAGTGCGGGTGACGGGATGTGATAAGGTGCAGGTGACGGGGTGTGTGAGGGTGATGGGGTGTGGGTAGCAGGATGTGTGCACAAGTGACGGGCTGAGTGCGGGTGATGGGGTTTATGAGGGTGATGGGGTATGATGACGGTGTGGATGACGGTGTGATGGGATGCGGGTGATGGGGTGAATGCAAGTGACAGGATGCGATGGAGTACAGGTGACGGGGTGTGTGAAGGTGATGTGATGGGGTGCTGGTGACAGGGTGTTTGTACAGGTGTCAGGGTGAATGTGGGTGACAGGGTGTGTGCGGACCATGGGGTGTGACAAGGTGTGGGTGACGGAGTGAATGCGGGTGACGGGATGTGTGAGAGTGATGGGGATGTGATGAGGCGCAGCTGATGGGGTGTGTGAAGGTGACAGGATGTGATGAGGTGCGAGTAACAGGGTGTGTGTACGGTGCCGGGGTGAATGTAGGTGACAGGTTGTGTGCAGGTGATGGGGTGTGATGAGGATGATGGGATGTGATAGGGTGTATGAGGGTGATGTGATGGGGTGATGGGATGTGTGTGAAGGTGACGGGATGAATGCAGGTGACGGGGTGTGTGAGGATGATGGGGTGTGATGAGGTGCGGGTGATGGGGTCTGTGAGGGTGATGGGATGGGGTGACGGGATGTGTGTGAAGGTGATGGGATGTGTGTGCAGATGACGGTGTGTGTGAGGGGGATGGGATGGGGTGACAGGGTGTGTGAGGATGATGAGGTGCAGGTGACAGGGTGTATGAGGGTGACAGGAAGGGATGGGGTGACAGGGTGTGTGAGGATGATGGGGTGTAATGAGGTGCAGGTGACAGGGTGTGTGAGGGTGACAGGAAGGGATGGGGTGACAGGGTGTGTGAGGATGATGGGGTGTGATGAGGTGCAGGTGACAGGGTGTGTGAGGGTGACAGGAAGGGATGGGGTGACAGGGTGTGTGAGGATGATGGGGTGTGATGAGGTGCAGGTGACGGGGTGTGTGAGGGTGACGGGATGTGATGGGGTGCGGGTGACGGGGTGCGTCGAGAAGCTGCTTTCCCCACCTCCCTCGCCTGTTGACAAACAGTCGCTCCGGCTGTGCAGGAAATGGGCTGGCAGGTGTCTCTGGCCTAGTTAGGAAAATGGGCCATTAGGAAATTGCAGGGCTGGGCTGTGCTGAGAGGGGATTAGCTCTGGGCTCCCTCTAATCAGCCCCCCTGAGCTCTCACCTGAAGTGTCCGGCAAAGTCACCGCGCGTGACGCATGGCGCCCGGGAGCCGCCGCGCGAGGGGCTGCCTGGGAGATAGGGGTGGGGGGGTGCTAAACCTGGAGCCCAATTAACGGATCAAGAGCTTTCGGGGGATCTGGCTGCGGGGATGGGGTGTAATCCGCCCCGGGGGGGTGGCTATAAAGCGGGCACTGCCCGGGAAGCGGGCGCAGAGCGGGCGCCTGGGAGAGGGGGACGCTAGAGCGACAGGCGGCGGCAGGCGGTGACGAGGGCGAGACCGACGTGGGCAGGGCGGGGAAGGGGGAGCGCAGCGGGGCTCGGCGGGGGGCTGCAGTGGGACGGGGGCACCATGACGCAGGCCTGGGACGGGGCAGTTTTTGCCGCCCGGCGGCGCAACGATGACGATGATACAACCCGGGACAGCATGTTCGTCTACACCAACAGCAACAACACGCGAGGTGAGCGCAGGGGGGCTGGGTACCGCGGGGAGAGGAGTTGGGGTGCAGGGGGGCTGGGGTACCATGGGGAAGAGGAGTTGTGGTCGGGGGACTGGGTACCACGGGGGAGCAGAGTTGGGGTCTGGGGTACTGCGGGGGAGCGGAGTTGGGGTGCGGGGGTTGGGGGAGCAGAGTTGGGGTCTGGGGTACTGCGGGGGAGCGGAGTTGGGGTGCGGGGGCTGGGGGAGCAGAGTTGGGGTCTGGGGTACTGCGG